ATTCCTCAATACTGACTTCTAGAGTACTGCCACGTTTTCTTTGTTTGGTCCAAGTACGACTTTCTCTCTCGGATCCACTTTTATAAATAACGTACCTCCTGAAAGACTGCAGGGCATTGTAGTAGCTACGCATGCAAGAACGTTCAAGAACAAGGTCATGCTCTCTCCGATCCTATTTTATCTTTTGAACCTAAAAAATAGTAATGAGTATCATTTTGCGGCTTATATGATTGAATATATGCTGATATCATCTGCAAAAGCTGTCTCCAATGTTATTGCTTTCGTCCTTCACGTAACTACAGCTACATTCAGATTGCGCATAGCATGCGAGAACTGCTACTATTTGAACCTCGTGTTGTTGTTCTTGTCTGATTTATTTATTTACTTGTATGACGTTTGATGCCTCGTTATTGTGATGGATTAGTATCTCTCTGTTTGTGGTTGCTCATTTTAGTTTGTACTCAGTTCACACAAATTCTCCTAACCTCGAGAAAAAAGACGTAGTGTCGATTCTGCCCACTGTATGCTGCAAAGTAGTTCACCAGATACTCCTTAGTGTTCAACGTGTAACCATCAACAGCTTTCCTCTCTAATCTCTTAACCTCGAGAAAAAGGACGTAGTGTCGATTCTGCCCACTGTATGCTGCAAAGTAGTTCACCAGATACTCCTAAGAGTTCAACGTGTAACCATCAACAGCTTTCCTCTCTAATAGCTGCCCTTGCAAATAACATACAATACACAGTCGTTCTCTCGTCTTGGATACGTCCTGTTTAGCAAATGCCTAGTAGGCACGAACCAATTTGGTTCCGATACTCCATAAAGCCATCGGTTTCAAAGTATCGGTACGAACACTCAGATATGACCAACCTTCTGTACAGCATCCTTCGAATCCCAGTACCTGTAAATAACAGAGAATCCACCCTAGGACACTGTTTGCTCTTTAATATTACACACTAATTGTATCTCGATTTAATATACAACGCTCATTGCATTGATTGGGCTAAACAAGAGTACTTTTCGGCTACTTGTTTAGTCGAACAGTATGCGGAGATTTGTTCAATAGTCAACTGTCAGCGGAACGGACCAAACTTACCCTGGAAAGGCAGACACTCAAACATTGCCGATGGTATGACATTCACCTATCAGTACCATCTTCTGCGGATCCTAAATAAATCCGATACCCAAACCTCGGTTGTCCGCTGCAAGCTTCATTACTAACATTTGGGCAATGGTTCGTCAGATAAGCCGTAGGTTTCATCGTATTTCGAGTATTTACTCAAGGTATTCGCGACCATACGAGCGTCTTCAGTTTTCTGGCGATCCGCCGGATCTGTAAGATGATCATCGTGGTACTCGATAAAAGCAAAGTCAATGATTTCTAATGTACCGGAAAGGGCCATATCAATCAGCACGTCTTTCTCGCTTCCTTCGATGTCTATCTTCATCATGACTCTGGGAGGATTGTATGACAAAAGGTCTTGTTCAGAAGCTCCGGTGTCCCGGGTGTTAACGATGTCCTTAATATATTTCACCAGGCGTATGATTTCCACTTTGCCTGTGTTGGCTTTTGACGTAACCCTTTTCTCAATCACTCCGCCACCCCACTCATAGAACTCCTTCGAATTGTCCGAGAAGTAACTGCCCTCGCCATCGTAGTCAGCTAGCCCTGTAGGGACTTTGAAAAATGTGCGATACCCACACTTGTTGTATGAGCTTTCAATACGCTTCAGGTATTCTGTGTGCTTTGCGTTTGGTTCAAACCCTACACTGCATACCTCGCGACGCTTGGCGACTTTGCCGAAGATCTTCTTGAAGAAAGTATTAACTGGCACGTCAGGATAAAGTTCTGGCTCATATAACTTCTGAACTTGCACACCACGATTCGAGCCACAATCTAAGTATACGTGGTAACATCCTTCGAGTTCGTTAGGCACGTTTTCCGAGTCGAGGGCTGTATTCTTCTTCACACCCTAAAAACTTTTCATTGGGGGGTGTGTATGCTCCGTAAGCTCGTTGTCGGGAGAAGAGGCGTTGAAATACGCGCTGCTGTCCCCACCCAGACACAAGCAAACGAAAATAAACACCAATAGTCCCCCAAAAACATAGTACAATACGTATGAAACTGAATTTTTCCGCTTGACCATCATTGTACACAACCACTTCTAGTTAGTTACTATGCAGCCGATAATATAGTCTTTGAATAATTGAAAGGCGCTATTTAGGTAAACAGATAATTATGTTCTTTCTTTGGGGAGGGGGGGGGGGGGGGAAGCCGTTTGGCGATCATTTTATTGGGTTTTGTTGATGGTTGCCAGGGCAGCCACACTTTTGTTCTTTTTTTTTTAGGAGGCTATGGGCCCAGGGCCGCCTATAAAAAATATGTACAGAGGCTATGGCTATGGCCGAACCCAAAATCACAAACCCTAAATAATCACATAGCCTTCTGAATCATACAAATCGCGGTCTTGTGCTTCATATTTTCTTTTTTATATATAAATCAAAGGAGTTTCTTATAAATAAAATCCATGCGTATGTCTTCCTCAGGGGAGGCTATGATGAACGCATATTTATGTAAAATACATATATACATATATATATACAAATACATATACATATACATATACATATACATATACATATACATATACATATACATATACATATACATATACATATACATATACATATACATATACATATACATATACTATATACTATATACATATACATATACAT